ATCTTTGCCCTGTCTTTTTCTACTTGAGAACTAAAATTTGGTATAATTTAGTTTTAAATCAGTTTACATGAGCAAAAATGAATTCAATACATAAAACTCAGTTTTAATGAGTAAAAATCAGTTTCAGCCTGAGAAAATTAGTAAATGTATACGTCGGATGAAATAAACTTTACAGAGTGATCACAAGTTTCTTTGGATATCAAAGTCAGAAAAACTTACTTTGATATTCAAAGAAACATATGAGCACAATCTAGAGTTTATTTCATCCACAATTACTGATTTTGTGAACAAGGATGATTTGTAATAATCAAAGAACCTTTGATATCCCATATATGGATGAAGTTGTGTGTTTTGGTGCATATATAATGCAGGACTCTGTAGATATCGCATTGGCGATGTGCTCCAAGTGACCGGCTTCTACAACAAGGCTCCGCAGTTCAAATTTATATGTCGTAGAAATGTTGCTTTGAGTCTAGACAATGATAAAACAAGTGAAGAGGACTTGCACAAGAGTATTACAGTAGCAAAAAAGCTCTTAGAGCCTCACAACGTGATCCTGCTAGAGTACACGAGCTTTGCAGATACCTCTTCTGTGCCAGGCCACTATGTCCTATACTGGGAAATTGGACATAACAAGTCTAAAATCGCCAATTCTTCACTTGATGAGGTCCTTAAAGAATGCTGCATCTCGGTAGAGGAGGAGCTTGATTACACATACAGAAGGTGCAGGTCTCATGACAAGGCCATAGGACCATTGGAAATAAGGCTTGTCAAGCCAGGCACTTTCGAGGCGCTGATGGATTTCTATATAAGTCAAGGTGGGTCTATTAACCAGTACAAAACACCAAGGTGTATTAACTCTAAAGCCGCCTTGAAGCTGCTCGAATCGAATGTCAAAGGATGCTTCTTAAGCCCTAGGGATCCAATATGGATTCCTTAAATATTAGTGGACTAAATCATAGCTATTATAGTGAAATAAGGTTTTTCTGGTTAAGTCAAGGTTGATTGTAACCTCTTTGTGGCAAATAGTTGCTGCACTTTTCTAGTTTTTGTGGGACAATCTATGTGTACTTGGTAAAATGACTACTGATTAGTATTACTATTGTAAGTGTGTATAAATCTCCTTGATTAGGTTATTCTCTTTAATCAATTTTTATAGGGCTTACAACCTAGCATATGAGTTAACCTAAATATACAAAAGGATATTCACAAAATATACTAGAGAATATTATCATATTCTCTATCACACCCCCGCAGTCATAGCGGTAGGGGGACGGACGCTAAGACTGAATCTAAAATAAAGAAATAGTTGCTGCGGTAAACCCTTGGTGAAAATGTCTGTGAAGTTGTAAGAAGACGGAATATGTAGAACCCGTATGTGACCCAAGGCCACCTTTTCACGAACAAAATGGATGTCCATCTCGATGTGCTTTGTTCGTTGATGATTGACCGGATTGCTAGAGAGATAAACAGCAGAGACATTATCACAATAGACCAAGGTAGACCTTTGTAATGGACAAAATAACTCGAGTAGTAGATTCCTGAGCCAATACGACTCGGAGACAACATTAGCGACCCCCCTATACTCCGAATCGGCACTCGAACGAGAGAGAGTTGCTTGCCTTTTTGCGGACCAAGAAATCAGAATATCCCCTAAGAACACACAGTAACCCGACGTCGACCTCCTCGTGTTGGGGCAGCCCAGTCGGCGTCGGTGTAGGCTATAAGCCGGTTTGGTGTGGAAGGAAATAAGTGAAGACCAAGGTTGAGAGTACCTTTGATAAATCTGATTACTCGTTTAAGAGCAGTAAAATGTGGTTCGCGAGGGGCGTGCATGAACAGGCAAATTTGTTGCACCACATATGAAATGTCGGGGCGAGTGAAGGTTAAGTATTGCAGCGCTCCAGCTAGGCTACGGTAAAGGGAGGGGTCTGCCACGGGATCCTCATCATGCGCACTTAGCTTGGAGTTGGTGTCAACAGGTGTGGCGACTAACTTGCAAGTCCTAATTTTTGCCCTTGTGATGATCTCTTCAGCGTATTTCTTTTGGCAAAGGAACATGCTTTGAGGAGTGCGGGTGACTAAAATCCCCAAGAAATAGTTGAGCTTACCGAGGTCTGACATGGCAAATTCGGACTTAAGTGAGTCAATAATAGTGGACTTTAACCCCTTGGATAATGAAGTGAGAACAATATCATCCACATAAAGAAGCAAGTAAGCCGTATCCCGACCGTGATGAAAAATGAATAAAGATGTGTCACTTTTGCTGCAAACGAAACCAATTTTCAAGAGGTTAGAAGCAAAACGCTGGTACCAAGCGCATGGGGCCTGTTTCAAGTCGTATAGTGACTTTCAAAGGCGACACACATAAGTTGGGGCATGCCGATTGACAAACCCCGCTGGTTGATGCATGCACACGGTTTCTTTCAAGTCACCATGAAGGAAGGCGTTTTTGATGTCCAATTGATGTATTGGCCAATTACACCCCATAGCAATACTCAAAATAGTTCGGATGGTGGCCGGTTTAACAACCGGACTAAAAGTTTCATCACAATCCACACCCGCCTCTTGTGACTTGCCATTCACAACTAATCGTGCCTTGTATCTCTCAAGATCACCATTGTCCCTGAATTTATGTTTATATAGCCACATACATCGAATGACATTAACCCCGTCCGGCTTGGGAAAAAGATCCCAAGTGTGTTGCTTCGTAAGAGCATTAAATTTGTCATGCATGGCCGTATTCCAATTTGAGTCAAGCAAGGCTAGCTTTGGACTTTTCGGTATTGGGGAAATAGAATGTACCGAAAGGTTAAATGGGATTTTAGGCTTGAAAATCCCATGCTTAGCGCGGGTTTGCATTTGAGGAGAAGGAGATTGTTGTGGACTTGGAGTAATTGGGCCAGCTGGTGAGGGATGAGGAGTGGGGCTAGGCAGGCTGGGTGGGGAATTGGGAGTGAGAGGAGTTGGGCTCACCTGTTAGGTAGCTTGCAGTTGGGCCGTGGCTGATTGAAAAGTCCCACGCCCAGCCTGCGGGCTATTCTGCCTAACAAGTGATAAAGGTGGGCTGGAGGTTGGCATTGGGCAGGCCGTAGGGAGTAAGCCGGCTATCGGGGTGGGTTGAGCTGTCGCCATAAATTGGTGAGTGATGGATGGTGGCAGGTCATGGTCCAAGAAAGAATAATCTTGTTCTCTATATTGCTGGATATTAGAGAATGGAAAAATATTTTTTGCAAAAGTGACATGTCGAGAGGTAATTACTTTATTTGCAGAAATGTCATAGCATAGATACCCCCGATGGCTAGAAGGATAGCCTAGGAAGACGCACGGTGTAGACCGTGGTGCAAGCTTATGAGGGGCAGTGGAAGAGAGGTTAGTATAGCATATATAACTGAAAATACAGAGATAATCATAAATTGGCGTACGACGAAAGAGTATTTCGGTAGGGCACTTGTTCTTTAATGTGGTAGTAGGAAGAATGTTTAGTACGTGTGCGTGTAACCACAGTGAGAGCATTACCCAAAAGGACGGAGGAAGAGATGCATGAAAGAGTAATGTACGAACCATGATAGTGCGTATAATACGCTCGGCTTTACTGTTTTGTGAGGAAGTATTAGGACATGAGAACCTAAAACGTAAGCCATTGGTTGCACAAAACTTGTGAAATGGGGAATTATCAAATTCACGACCATTATCACTTTGAAAAGTTTTAATATGCTTCTCAAATAGTGTGAGCACATAAGCTCGGAATTCAAGGAAAATATTATAAACTTGGGATTTAAACTTGAGGGGAAAAATCCAAAGAAAGTGAGAAAAATCATCAAGAAACACCAAATAATACTTATGTCCCAATTTACTAGAAATAGGAGAAGTCCATAAATCCGCATGTATTATATCAAAAGGGGAGAATGTGACAGATACAGAAGATTTAAAAGGAAGTCTAATATGCTTCCCTAAAGGACAAGAGTAGCAAAATTAGGTTTTACACCCATTATTACATTGAATTAAATTCCTATTCCTCAAAGTACTAAAAACAGGAGCTCCGGGATGACCGAGACGAATGTGCCATACTGAAGGAGATAAAGCAGCTAAAGAGAGATTGTGATTGACGGAAGTAACGGAAAATGAAGTGAACGAATAGAGGTCCCCCACACTATTGCACCTCGCTAGAGGTTTCCCCGTATTGAGATCCTTCACAGAAAAACCGAAAGGGTCAAATTCAACAGAAACAGAATTGTCACAAGTAAACTTCCTAACGGAAATTAAATTCTTGATGATATTAGGAGTGAACAAGACATTTGTGAGGTTGAAAGGTGGATGGGAGAGGGTGTGGTAGTTGTGCCATAGCCTTTAATTAGAATACGTTTGCCATCACTAACCAAAATAAACTAAGAAAAGCTCAAATTAGACAAAGTAGAAAGATTACCGAAAGTATAAGTAAGGTGGGACGAAGCTCCGGTATCCGTATACCAACCATTGTCAGGTTGTTGAAGTGTCATTGAGCTATAAGCCTGGCCCAGCTCGGTTGGAGACATGAGTGGCCCGTAAGAAGCTTGCGGTGGGGTGGGAGTAAAGTAGGTCTGTTGCTGAGATGGTCTAGGGCCCAGGATACTCTGCTGTGGCCGCATGAATTGCTAGGGCTGCCCAGTTGGATACGGGCATGGTGGAGAGGCCCATTGATTGGGATGGGGTTGCTGCCAGTTATATGGGCCAGTCCACTGCTGCTGAGGGCCTTGAGAAAGCTGCCACTGCTGCTGAGGTTGGGAACCCGGGGTGGATTGATTCGGCTTGCCCTTTCCACGACCTTTCCCACTTTGGTTGTTCGGTTTCCCACGCCCATGCCTAGCACCGCGACCACCACCACGAGGCTGCTGCTCAGGTTGGCCTTGTGGTGAGGGTGTGTGATGTGGTGCTCCAGAAGATGACAAGGTGGACTAGGTAACCAACGCTTGCTGGGATTGCTCATCTTGCTTCGCTTTTCTCGTTTCTTCCAAAAGAAATTAAGATCGGGCCTTGTTGAAGCTTGGTTTGGGGTCTGCCTGCTGAATCATGACGGTGAGAGTGTCATACTCTCCCTTGGGCAACCCCTTGATGAGCTGCAATACCATAGAGTTGTCAGTGACGGGCCAATCAACATTGGCTAATTGATCGGCCAAGAGTTTGATTTTTGTTTGCAATATTCAACCATATTTGCAAAATTCTCCAAACGAGTATTGGTTAATTGTTCCTCCAAGTATACGGAACGGGTGTGTTTATTATCATGGAAGATCTCTTTCAACCGATTCCACAATTTAAGAGCAGTTGCACCAGGTTTCATTATAGTGTTCACAAGATCCCAAGAGATCGTTCCATATATCCACTGCTTGACTATAGCATCAAGCCCGTTCCAGGTTGTGGTATCAATCCCAGAAGGACGAGAAACAGAGGCATCTATGTGGTCCAGGACATTAAATGCACAGGCATAAATTTGGAATAATTCAACCCAAGTTGCATACTGACTTTCCTCTTGATCCAATGTGACGGACATGAGGTTCTTGATGTTGGTGACTACATAAGCAGGTGAAAAGAGGAAGAGGGAGGAGGAGGAGGGGGAGGAGTTGCATCGTTGTTAATGGAGGAATTCTCATCAGTAGGAATCATGGTGAAGGAGGTAGGCTAGGGCAGGATCGTTAGGGTTAGGAATTAAGAGTAAAAAATTCCTAGGAGGCTCGTGATACCATGTAAGTGTGTATAAATCTCCTTGATTAGGTTATTCTCATTAATCAATATTTATAGGGCTTACAACCTAGCATATGAGTTAACCTAAATATACAAAAGGATATTTACAAAATATACTAGAGAATATTATCATATTCTCTATCAAGTATATTTACAGTAAGAATTATACCTATCATAACTTTTGTTAAGCCCTTTATTCTATACTTAGAGAGCGAAAGGATGGAATATATGAATATATTTAGTGTTTAGGATGGTCTTCTTTTTTCCTCAACTATGCTCATTGAGGGTTCACAATTATCCAACAACTCCACCATTCCCTAATAATAGTTACAGTGCTGCACCTTATAAAAATTTTAAAGTTTGGCTTTAAAATGAGAAATGGTATTGTTTCGGGGTTTTTTTTATGTCCTTCGGGAGAGTTACAATTCCAAGACTGACCTCTGGACGCCTGTACCTGCAAAACAACGGGGACTCCGGTGGGTGGGAGCTCCGCCTCTGACGATCAAGTTAGAATGTGTACGAGGAGTAAAGTGCAGAAAGTAAAGGGTCTCTCTCGGATTCCAAGAGAGAATCTGCAATGTGGAATTGCTCAGTTCAAGGTGTGAGATATCTGACTTTCTCTGAATGAAGAGTTAATGTGTATTGAATATTTCTGAATAGCCATTCCTATGAGGGAAACATCTCCCTTTTATAGGATGTTGGAAAACGTGCTCAATACTAGGTTTTAGTAAACCTAAGGCTGATTAGGCTTTGCCTGGAACTTTGGGCCATAAGAGGCCACTTCCTCACTTGGCATTCTGCCTGCCACGTGTCGTGACCTAATTGGTCCACCTTGGACCTCTCACGAGGTGACACGTGGCGGACTCTGATAGGTGAACGTGGCAGGATACCATTGGTCCACGTGGCGGGAAAAAAATCCCCTAATCATTTGCCCCTCACAGGGGTGACGTGGCATGCCACGTGGCGCCTGTGACAAGTGTCACACCATGATTGGAGGACGATTTTTACCATTTTTTTTGGGTGACCCTTGAAATTCCCCCCTATAAATAGGGGATGTCCAAATCATTTGGACATTCTAGAAACTTTAAGACAGGATTTTGGACGACTGCTCTTACTCTTTGGACTATTGCCGCTTGTTTTTACAGACCGCCTGTTTCCTTTACCGCCTGCTTCTTCAGCTGTTAAAGTTTTTTCAAGGGTTCCAAGACTTCTCCACTTATTAAGGTAACCGCCTGTTTCCTTATTCACTTTCTCTTTGTTTTTTCTGTTTTAAAAAATGGTAGCCCAAAAGCACCCGGCACGGCCTAGGTTAGTGATCAGCCGGTCACCGGGGATGGCTGAATCTAGAACTAGGAGTGCCGCCTACCCCATGCCGGAACGTCCTTTGCGAACTGCCCAGAGTCCGACTATCTATGTGTCTGTGCAGGACACCATGGCCAGAACAAAGACAACGACCAGGATTACAAATTCAGACGACTCCTCATTTTATGCGCCCATAAGGGAGATCTCAGACGTTCCGCTTGGCGTCCCTAGTACCCCCAGTGATTCCATTTTGGCGGAGTCAGGGGAGGAGGTTCAGAATGAACCTCTCGTCATTGACCTGTCCGGGCAAGCGACTGTTTTGGCCGAGAGCTCGGATGACGACTCTGAGCCGAGCACCTCCAGTCGGCACTCTGACGACTCAGAGGAAAAACACTCTCGACTACATACAGCGAGAGAGAGCCATGAGGTGGAGAAAGGGGAGAGATGGGCGGAGCCGACTGCCACTCAAAGGAAAATGTACACTCCCTATTTATGCCATGTTCCCAAAGGCAGGTGCAGGGCCATGTCTGAAAAAATAGGGAGCTTCAGGGCTGACCATGTGAAGGGACATGATTACATTCTAACTGTGCCGGATGCCGAGGATACGGTAGTCTGGCCAGAGTCGTCCAGCTATAGGGACGAGTGTTTTGGCTGCTATGAGGCGGCCATCAAAGCTGGCTTAAGATTTCCTCTACATCCGGCTGTAGAGAGGATTTTGGATGGGTACCAGCTGGGGCTCTGGCAACTGCCCCAAACTCATGGTTCAACATCTTAGGCTATCACTAGTAGAAAAAATGAATTAGGCACCGCACCTTTCGCACCGGTTCTTGAAAACCGATGGCAAAAGAAATGGGTGGGATAAGCTAAATGACTTTTCGCACCGGTTCCTATTAAACCGGTGCGAAATCATCTTTTTCGCACCGGTTTGCAAACGAAAAAAAGGGAGTAAAGGGATTTGCCACCGGTTCTAACCAAAACCGGTGCGAAATGTTAAAAAAAAAAGGTTTAAGGCTTTCTTTCTTCTTCTTTCTTTTTCCCCCTGCTTTCCCTCTTCGTTCTGCTCTTCTCTCTCCCTCCCATTTTCGCGTCTCCTGCTCTTCCTCCCAGCTTTCCCTCTCCGTTTTTGCATCTCCTTCTGCACTCCATTGAAGCAGCTCGCTCTCTCTCCATTGAATTGGTTTACGCGCTTTCTCACTCCATTGAAGCAGCACCTCCATTGAACCAGCTCTGGCCTCCATTGAACTCACTTCAAGGTAAGATTTTTCTTGTGGTTGTGCGAATTCATTGATTATCTTTCGCAATATAGGGTTTGTCGTTGATTTTCTATTCAATTTAGTAATTTTAGGGTTGTGGTAATATAGGGTTTGTCATTCAAGTGCGCACGGCTACACCTCCACCCTCAACCACTCAGCTTCCTTACTGGCTGAAGCAATAGTAATAAACTCCGCTGCCATAGTGGAATCAACGATGCAAGTTTGTTTATTGGAAGACCATGAAATAGCACCTCCCCCAAACATGAATACCCAACCACTTACAGAAAGTCATCCTCTTTGTAAGTGATCCAACTAGCATCCAAAAATCCTTCTAAATCCGAAGGAAATCCACTATAAGATAGACTATAGTCTAACGTACCCTTAAGGTACCTCAAGACCCTTATAATTGCAAACCAATGCTGTGCACCCGGGTTACTAGTAAATCTACTTAGTTTTCCCACAGCCAATGCAATATCCGGTCTTGTACTAGCCATGGATCCAATCGTTTTCCCTAAATTCTTAACCAATATGACACTAAGTTCCATGGGGGTGTTCACGGGACACTTATCAAACATGTTAAACCGTTTGATCATTTTCTCAATATAATGAGATTGACTTAATATAAGCCTTCCATTGTCCCGAATGATCTTGATGCCCAAAATGACATCCGCCTCCCCCAAATCCTTCATCTGAAAAGTTGAGGATAAGAATTCCTTGGTCAATTCTACTTGTTGTAGACTTGTACCAAAGATAAGCATGTCATCAACATATAGACAAATGATGACACCATGACCTTTGTCATCGAATTTTCTATATATACACTTATCAGCTTGATTCACTTGGAATCCAAAGGACAAAATCGTGTCATCAAATTTTCGATGCCACTGATTTGGTGCTTGCTTAAGTCCATACAATGACTTAACCAATTTACACACCTTATCTTCCTATCCTTCAAAAACAAACCCTTCGGGTTGTTTCATGTACACTTCTTTCCTAGATCTCCATAAAGGAATGCTGTTTTGACATCCATTTGATGAATCACTAGATTATATACCGAAGCCATTGCAATCAATAACCTTATGGAGGTAATTCTTGCAACCGGTGCATAGGTATCGAAATAATCAACACCTTGCTTTTGCCTAAAGCCTTGGATAACCAATCTGGCTTTAAATTTCACTATAGAGCCATCTGGTCTCCTTTTCCTAGTGAAAATCCACTTGCAACCAAGATGTTTGCAACCGGTAGGTAAATCCTTTAAGACCCAAGTATTATTTCCCATGATGGAATCCATCTCATCATTTATAGCTTCTTTCCAAAATGCACTATCTTGACTAGATATTGCCTCGCTATAAGTCTTTGGGTCACTATCCACATTGAAACAATATGGAGTAGTAGAACTAAGGACATCCCTAGATCCTTCAACCAAATAAATTATGAAGTCGTCTAGAGGATTCCTAATTTTCCTTTCCTTAGTACTTCTCCTCACTTGAGGAGTTTCAACATTCTCATTATTAAATGTACTTTCATGAGTTTCAAGTTGATCATTCAACTCTCCTATCTCTCTATCATTGACACTAATTTGTAGATCTTTCGGTCTACTCATTGATGAAAATCGATTTTCATCAAAAATTGCATCTCTTGACTCAATAACCGAATGAATCGATATATAGTCATTTTGTTCTATTACATAGAACCTATAGGTTTTGCTATGCTCAGCATAACCTATAAATATGCAATCCAATCCCCTTTCACCGAGCTTTCTTTTCTTGTTGCCAGGCACTCTTATGATTTCCCTACAACCCAAACCTTGAGATACTTCAAGTTTGGCTTTCTTTTGTACCAAAGTTCATAAGGAGTAGATTCTTTTCCCTTAGTGGGAACCCGGTTAAGAATGTGACATGCTGTCAACATTGCTTCACCCCAGAACCCTTCACTCAAACCAGAGTAAGATAACATGGAATTAACCATTTCTTCAAGGGTTTTGTTTTTCCTTTCAGCTACACCATTTGATTGTGGTGCATAACCAGCTGTAGTCTCATGAATTATACCCAAAGATTGGAAATATGCTGGATCATAGTATTCCCCCCCTTTATCAGTTCTTATTCTCTTAATAAATGAATCTACTTGCAATTCTACTTCTCTTTTATAAACATCAAACTTTGTTAAAGCTTCATCTTTAGAATGCAAAAGATATACGTAACAAAACCTAGAATAATCATCTATAAACGTGACCATGTATCTTTTGTTCCCCAAA